GAACGTTTATTGGGACTGGCTCCTGCAGCCGTTCAGGAGGACAGTGGCCTGGTTTAGGGTGGGGCAGCGACAGGGGTGCAAGACAAGGATTCAGGAGGTGGGAAGGTTCGACCCTGGGACTGAGTCCCTGAGGGGAGCGGATGGCGCCAGGCGGAGAGCCCTGGCTGTGTCTGCGGTGCCGGGGCCACCACCCCATGGGGCCAGGGGACCCTCCTTCCTCCCGGGCCTCCCTCCCCTCTGGCCTTCTCGCTCTCTCCAATTCCTTTTTAGAACTTGAGTCTTCCCTCTTTTTTGATTCTCTTTCCCCATTTTCTCCATGTCCATGCCAACAATAATTATAATTGGGCTGCTGTCTTGGCCCACACATCCTCAAAGACAACTGCAATTTGGGCCAATCCTAGGAAAACCATGGAAGCCAGAAAGATTAGGGTCAGTTTTGAGGCCGATCGAGAGGCAGGCTCGTCTCTGGCCTTCGGCACCGTTGGGTAGAGGTGCTAGGTGAGTGACCAGGACACCGTCTCCTTGTGCTGCTCCCCCACTGTCCCTGAGCAGCGCCTCCCTTTCCCTCCCAGTCTTGTTGGAATGAGTATCTGACAACTCGAATAGAGCAGAACCTGGTGATGAACTGCACATGCCCCATTGCCGACTGCCCTGCCCAGCCCACGGGAGCCTTCATCCGTGCCATCGTCTCCTCGCCAGAGGTCATCTCCAAGGTACTCCCTCCCCTGAGAGAGGCTCTGGTGCACAGCCAGAGGGGCAGGCCCCGGAGGGTGGGCTGATGTGCAGGATCCTGGGGGCCTGGAGACAGCGCATCCCGGAGAGCCAGACCCTCACCCCGCGGCACCTGCGCCCCCCGCAGTACGAGAAGGCCCTCCTTCGCGGCTACGTGGAGAGCTGCTCCAACCTGACCTGGTGCACCAACCCCCGCGGTTGCGACCGCATCCTGTGCCGCCAGGGCCTGGGCTGCGGGACTGCCTGCTCCAAGTGTGGCTGGGCCTCCTGCTTCAACTGCAGCTTCCCAGAGGTGGGTGCCCACCCCAGCTTTGATGCCAAGCCAGTGCCCGCCCCCACCCCACTCAGCACCCCTCCCTGCCACACACACGCAGAGACCGCCTGTCCTCGTCCTCTGCCACCGAGTTGAGCTCTGTTCCTCCTCCCTGGTCCTCCAAATGGGACTCCCTCCCTCCCACTCTCCCCTGCATGCCAGCACGTGGTGTCCTCACCTCCCCTGCCTACTCCAGGCACACTACCCTGCCAGCTGTGGCCACATGTCTCAGTGGGTCGATGACGGCGGCTACTACGATGGCATGAGTGTGGAGGCCCAGAGCAAGCACCTGGCCAAGCTCATCTCTAAGCGCTGTCCCAGCTGTCAGACCCCCATCGAGAAGAATGAGGGGTGTCTGCAGTAAGAAGGGAGTACCGTGGGCCCTGGGGGGCCAGTGGGCACGGGAGAGGGTAGGGGGCCTGGTAGTAAGGGAAGAGGCAGTGGGGTTTTACTGAAAAGCTAAGCAATAATTAGGGCAGTTATTCAACCAACCACTTTCTTGGCACCCTCCAGAGTGATTCCTGGATCTCATATTCCCCCACTTTAAAAAAAAAAAAAAAAGATTTTCATTTACTTTTAGAGAGAGGGGAAGGGAGAGAAACATTCATGTGCAAGAGACACATGGATTTGTTGCCTCTTGCTCACCCCCAACTGGGGAACTGGGCTGCAACCCAGGCATGTGCCCTGACTGGGAATCGAACTGGCAACCCCTTGGTTAGCAGGCTGGTGCTCAACCCACTGAGCCACGCCAACCAGGGCCCTTACCCCACTTGTAAGTCTACACTGTAACGGGGCATTCAGAAGCAAAGGTGTATTCATTCAGTAGGAACCAGTAAGGTCAGGAGACTAAGGGCATGGAGGAACCAGGGACATCGTCAGTGGTGCATCCCGGTCCCTGGCGTTCCCGGTGCGGCCCTGGCCAGAGGCAGGAGTCCTGACCAGCTAGCTTCCTCCATAGCATGACCTGTGCCAAATGCAACCATGGATTCTGCTGGCGCTGCCTCAAGTCCTGGAAGCCCAATCACAAAGACTATTACAACTGCTCTGCCATGGTAAGGGGCTGGGTGCTGGGGAAGGTCAAGGCCCACGGGCAGCAAGGTGGGCTCTCTGCGGGGCCCTGTGCAAAGAGGGCTCTGTGCAGAGCAGCCCAGCAGTTGCTGGAACAGTTGCTCGATGGGGAGAAGACAGAAGCCACCTGGGCCTACAGATGCTGGGAGGTCTGGCCCACGAGGTCTGCACAGGGACCAGAGGCCCCAGAGTGGGACTTCTCACACCCAGGGGGCTGTAGGAGGGCCAAGGCGGGCTGGGCCTTCTGGGGGCAGCAAGGCAGAGTGGAGAAGAGCAAGGACTGAGTCAGAGCCCGGTTCCACTGCTTAGTGGGTGGCTTTGGGTCAGTTTACTTGTCCTCAGCATTCTCATCTGTAAAAGGGGGTAATAATGTGACCTACCTCACAGAGTTCTGAGGATTAAATGAAAAAATCTGGGTAAAGTGTGGAAAGGCCTCTGTGAATAGTAGCTAGTCTGATGAGCCCCGATCTGCTCCAACAAACCACGGTAGCCCCCTTCATGTGTCCTTACAGGTGAGCAAGGCAGCTCGCCAAGAGAAGCGGTTTCAGGACTATAACGAGCGGTGCACTTTCCATCACCAGGCCCGGGTGAGGAGAGAGGAAAGAGTTGGGTCTGTGAGGTCAGAGGGCTGGGGTAGGTGGGCGGGGAGGGGCCAAAGGTCATATTGGATGGGGGCTGTTCTGATGAGGATTTGTGTACCTGTGCTGGTGCTGACCGGCCTTCCTCTGCACAGGAGTTTGCCGTGAACTTATGGAACCGAGTATCTGCCCTCCACGAGGTGCCACCACCCAAATCCTTCACCTTCCTCAGCGATGCTTGCCGGGGACTTGAGCAGGCTCGAAAGGTTGTGGTGGGTGGGGGAGGGGAGAGATGTGCCAAGGGGGTCTAGGGGGCTGGGCAGCTGTCCTCTAACCTGTTTGGCTGGAGGGAATGAGGAGCAAACAGGTGGGAGGCAGGTGCCTCACCGCAGCCGGGAGAGGGCTGACTTGGGCTCCCCCAGGTGCTGGCCTACGCCTGCGTGTACAGCTTCTACAACCAGGACACAGAGCAGATGGACGTGGTGGAGCAGCAGACGGAGCACCTGGAGCTGCACACCACTGCCCTGCAGATCCTGCTCGGTGAGACTGCCCCGCCCCGCCCCTCCCCCTGAGCATCCCATTCCGACAGGTGGGGACCACACAGCGCCCCTACCCCAGCTTCCCACCCGCACGCTATCCTCTTCCTCTTCCTAATTCTTCATGGCCTCATCACCATCAGCCTTTTAAAATTCTGCTGTGAAGGTACACAGTACAGGCTGTTTGTGCCTAAGGACACAGGTCTTCGCCTGACCTTTGATTTGACTAGAGTGTGAGCCTCACGGAGTGGGTGTCTAGAGCTGGGTCTGGTAGATGTTAGCAGAAGTTGGTCGGCGTTCAGCAGGGGTTTGCCGAAGGAGGGAGTGGAGGGGATGGAAGAAGGGAGGGAGCCCCCGCGCTCTGCCACCTCTGCAGAGGAGCTCCTGCTGCAGCGCAGAGACCTGGCCTCGGCCCTGCGCCTCCTGCGGGCGGACTGTCTCCACATGGGCCTGGAGCTGCTCCGGCTGATCCAGGAGAGGCTGCTCGCCCTCCTGCAGCACTCGGCCCAGGTACGCAGACCCCGCCCCACTGGTGCCTGGAGGAGAGGCGCGAGGGTGAGTGGATGTGCAGAGACGGAGACGGGGCGTGTGTCCCTGCTCCTAGACCAGCCTGCTGGATACTTTCAACCCTGCCACTTAACCGCCTGGCGTTTCCTACAAAATAAAGGAATTAGCCCAGATCGAGGGTTATTTTGCCAGATCCTTATTCATCAGATTCACTTGGGGAAGTTTTTCAGACATACTTCCCAGATGTGGATTCAGAATCCCAAGAGTTGGGGGCCAGGGGCTGGGGTCCACTGGAGTAAGGGATCTCTGAGATTCTTTCCAGCTCTGATACGCTGCTGTTGAGTATGAACCTGCTTTCAGGGAGCTTACAGACTGGTAGTAATTTGGGCAGAAAAGACATGAACACTGTAAGCTCCTAAAACACAGGGCTGGTATGCCTCACCAATGTGTCCTGTGTGCCTGGAGATCACGTCTTGAGTTAAATTACACAAAGCAGTGGTTTGCGAGGTGCTGTGGTGAGGGAGGGAGAGCAGGCGGGAGCATCCCTGCCAGGGGCATGGCACCTAGTGGGCCCTCAGAGAACGTTGGTCGAGGGAACACTGGGCACAGAGGCCCGGTGGCCTCTACTGTCCTGCTGCCTGCACCCTCTCGTCTCTTTGCCAGGATTTCCGGGTTGGTCTCCAAGGTCCGTCGTTAGAGGCCCGGGAGTCAAAAGGGCCCAACATTCCCAGCAATCAGTGAGCATGGGCGGAGCTGCAGAGGGAAGTGGGACATGTTGGGCTTCCTCTGGGGCTGAGTGGCACTCTCTCTCTCTAGGCCTCAGGGCTCCTCGGGGCTGGAGATGGAGGAGGAGGAGGAAGACGACGAGGACGATGTGCCCGAGTGGCAGCAGGATGAGTTTGATGAGGACCTGGACAATGACAGCTTCTCCTATGATGAAGAGTCTGAGAACCTAGACCGAGACACTTTCTTCTTTGGTGACGAGGAAGAGGATGATGAGGGCTATGACTGAGGGGCAAGACACAGGGAGCACCTGGAGCCGCCCCAGAGCTGTGGAGCCGAGGGGGTCAGGACTCACCCTGGCCGTTGTCATGGGGCACCTGGAGGGGGCGATTCCCAGCATCTGCAGCACCTTCTTCTGTTTACTGAATAAACTTTTTTTCACATACTTCTCTGAAGCAGGCTGGGCAGCTTCCCCCGCTCTCCCTCCCACGCACACCCTCCCACCGCCAACCCTCCTCATGCTTTAGTTTTTTTGACCTCCAGACTCTTCTGTCATCAAAGAAAGCCTAAAGCTCACCCGTTTAACCTAAGCTGATAAAGGCCATTGCAGGTCTGTGTGGAACAGGCTTGCCCGCTTGCCCCAGACCCAGCCCAGTGTCCGAGGCGACGGGAGAGCCACCCCCTGTCCTTCCTCTAATGGTTGGCCTTCCTCTAAACTCTTGGACGTTAGACACAAGGGCCCGAGGGCATTAGGAAGCATCCTCCTCTTGGGGCCTACAGACTTTTAAAGGGTTTCTCTTCATCTTGAAGTGAAGTGGGGTGAGAGAGAATATTACTGAGGACCTGCCCTGTCCCACTACACATACAGACATAAAGTTAGAATGGTAAACGTACCTTTTAATTTGGTACTGGGCTAAAAGATAGGAATGGTTATTATAGCCGTCTGAGATCAGAAGAATTTGGTAAAGTGGGGTTAAGGCAAATGGTTGGGGTGAGGGAGGAAGCCGCCTACTCTGGAGGAAGAGCCTCAAAGTACCGATCCAGCAAGGCTTCCACCTCTCCCTCTTCGTAGTCCCACACCTGGAACCGGGAGCCATCTGCTGCCCCCCGGATCATGGCTGAAAGCACTGGGAAGGCAGAAGAAGGTGAAGGTGGCGCGGCATCCCCACCCGTGTTCCCTTTCCCCAGCCCTTGGAGGAGGCAGCGTACTCAGAGCCCCCCATAAAAGGGGGCTGAGGGCAGGGTCCTGAGAAAGCTGGGGAGGGCGGGAGTGGCCATCCAGGGCTTGGAGCGCTCACCTCGGCCAGACTGTGGGCGGAACAGGCACAGGACGCGCTTATTGAGGGCCACTGCCCGGCCCAGCTCATAGCCGACACCCAGGGATGGCTGGGTCACTTCCGCCACAACCACTGGGAAGGAAAAATCAGACTGAGGCTTAATACCTAGGCTTGCAGGAGAAAGATGGCAGCGAGTGGTGAGGAAGGAGCTCTAGGGAGTTGTAGGTGGGGAGGCCAGGCATGTTCCGAGAATCTAATGTCCAGAGGAGTTCACAGGTGGGAGAGAGGGCCACTCACGGTCTGCCCGCTGCAGCCAGGCCAGGTCCCGCTCATGGATGAGCCTGTCACCCCCAGCAGCCTCTTCCCCTGTGGTTGAGAGAAAGCTGGTCAGGGCCCTGCACCACCCTCCGCTTCAGTACTTAGTACCTCTCCTCCGCCCGCCTCCCATGTCCCTCCTGCTCCAGGGAGGGCGGACCCGCCCAACGCTGACAGTCCATGAAAAGGAGTAAGGAAATGGAATAGCTGCAAGAAAAATTCAATGCTGTGCAAGGTGGGATGTGTGATTAGGGCCAGGTGAATGATACAAATGCAAGGAAGGGGAGGACTGGGTCCGTGATGTGACGAGGTGGAGAGGAGGAGGAAGGGCATCCAGGTGGGGGCAATGGCAGGCAGGAGTAGGGACTGGTCCACGCAAGGAAAGGATGGAGGAAGACTAGTCTAGAGCCTGCTGGAGTGGCTCTCAAGCTTTGGTAGGTACCAGAATCACCTGAGAACTTGATAAAACTACAAAGACCCAGGTGTGAGCGTGCCTGGCTACTTCATGAGCTCTCTAGGTGATTCTCATACCCACCAAAGTTTGAGGACCACTGCCTGAGAGCGTGCAAAGTGACCCACAGTTGGTGATGGGAACCGAGGTGGGAGAGGCCTCCTGGGGGGAGAGGGGGAGGATCCGGGCCTTCCAGCTTGGTTACATGGTCGTCTTCAGGGCTGTTAGAGCTCACAGCTAACTGCACCAGTACAGAATCACCGCAGAACTTGTTAAAAAGAGATCCTAAGGCTTCATCCCAGACTACTCTGAGAATCTGCATTTAAACAAGATCTCTCCTTATATTTGAGCACACAACAGTTTAAGAACCACCAGGCAGGGGTGGACATACTGTGACACCGATGAAACTCACTTGCCCAGGCCCTTTCCAATACCCTAGCAATTTCGTGATTGTGTCTTTTTAAAGAGGTCTCCCAGAATTGGATTAAGTCCCACAGATCCTGGATCTGTTCCTGGGTAGGGCATGGGGAACAGCTTCAAGGTTTGTGAGCAGAAGTACGGCAGTTATAGACACAACTTTCACACTAGAAGAGTTTGATCAGACCAACCATGTTTTAGACCCAGCACTAACAATGACTTATCTGAAAAAGAAATAGAGCAATCCATTTGCAATAGCATCAAAAACAATAAAATACTTCAGAATAAATTTAACCAGAGAGCTGAAAGGTCTGTACACTGAAAATTATAAGACATTGATAAAAGAAATAAAAGAAGCCACAAATAAATGGAAAGGCATCCAGTGTTCATGAGTTGGAGGAATGAGTATTGTTAAAATGTCTGTATTACCCAAAGCCATCTACAGATTCAATGTAATCCTTTTAGATTACAATGAGATTTCTTACAGAAGTAGAAAAACAATCCTAAAATTTATGTGGAACCACAAGAGACTCCAAATAGTCCAAGCAATCCTGAGAAAGAAGAACAAATAGGAAGGCCATCGTACTTTCTGATTTCAAGCTATAGTATAAAGCCATAAAATCAAAACAATATGGTACTGGCATGGAAACAGATACACAGACCAATAGAACAAAATCGAGAGCCCAGAAATAGCCCTGGCCTGGTGGTTCAGTTGGTTGGAGTGCCATCCTGTACACCAAAAGTTAGCAGGTTTGATCCCTGGTTGGGGTGTATATGAGGCAACTGATAGATGTTTCTCTCTCTCCCTCCCTTCCCCTCTCTCTAAAATCATTAAGTATGTCTTTAGGTGAGGATAAAAAAAAAACAACAAAAAACTACCATATGATCCAGCAATCCCACTTTTGGGAATATAACGGAAAGAAACAAAAACACTGTTGCAGAGATGTCTGCACTCTATGCTCAAAGCAGCCAAGAGATGGAAACAACCTAAGTGTCTACGGGTGGATGAATAGATAAAGAAGCTGTGTATATATAAAATGGTATACTATTCAGCCACGAGAAAGAGGGAAATCCTGCCATTTGGGAAAATATGGAAGGACTTTGGGGCATTATGCTAAGTAAAATAAGTGAGAGAGAGAAACACAAACAATGTATGATCTCACTTGATATATGGAATCTAAAAACAAACAAACAAAAAAACCCACCCAGAAAAACCTAAATTCCTGGCAAAAGAGACTGGATTTGTGGTTTCCAGAGGTGGGGGACAGGAGGCTGGGAAAACAAATTAAGGTGGTCAAAAAATATCAACTTGTGGTTATAAAATAAGTGCTAGGGATATAATGTACACGATGACTATAGCTACCAATGCTGTGTGGTTATTTTGAAGTTCTTACAAGAGTAGATTCTAAGAGATCTTATCACAAGGAAAAAATTTTTTCCTCAGGTAATGGATGTTAGCTAAACTTATTGGGTTAAACATTCTTTCACAACATATGAAAGTCTAATCATTACGCTGTACACTTTAAACTTGTACAGTGCTATGTTAATTGGAGCTCAATAAAATTGGGAAGGATAAAAAAAAAAAAAGACCCAGCGCCCAGGAGCAAAAACACTTCAGTAAAAGCCTGATCAGAAGGCGTGAGACCGTGGCGGTGGAGAGAACTGGGGTCTCTCGGGTCTAAGAGAGTGCTGACACCCACTGGGCAAAGGCGCAAGGCGCAGGAGGATAAGCTTTGTCTTAGGTAGGGGAGAGATGCCAGCGGGGACGCGGAAACCCAAGCAGTCCCGTCCACGCCCATTCTGCCCCTCACTACAAACTACCCTGGCAAGAGCTGGACAACATGCTCCAGGAAGAATCTAAAGGTTAAGGTAACAACTGAGTGCAGAGACTGGGCTCGCACCGCAGCTGGATCCGGACACGTACGGTCTGAGTCCCGGCTCCCCTTTCTTCGAGCGCTGGGCGCCGGCTCCCGGCCGACGGCACGCGAAGCAGGGTGGAGGGCGGCCACCGCCCGGGGGAGGGCAGCTTCGGTAAAGAGGTGGGGCCGGAACCCTCCCAGTGCCCGGCAGCCCGCGCTCCGCGCCCCCGCGGCCTCACCTTGCGCGCCCAGCTCCGCACTCGCCACATGCTCGGTGAGCACTGTCCCGAAGCGCCGCAGCCGCGACACGATCCGCTCGTACAGCGCCCGGTCCTCGCGTCCGCCGCGGATGCTCCCGCAGAAGTACAGGGCCCGACGGCAAGCCTCGCCCGACTGTCCGGACTCCCCGCGCTCCCGCGCGCCGGTTACCGTCGCCGCCATCCCCGCCGCCGTCACCGCTCATCTTCCCTCGCCAGGGGGCGCTAGCCTGAGGCCACGTGATCCGGGCCGGGCCTGCGCCCGGGGCCTGGTGCTTAAGTGTCCACACGTGTGAACTAGAGACGAGTTGGGAACGTGGGTGACGATACCCATGTGCGGGGAGCCCTCCGCCTCCCGGACTTCTTAACTAACTTGTCCTGGAGGAAATCGCAGCCTTCCGCGCCTCACCCACGTCGCTCCCCACTACCCCCGTCTTCTTCATCTCACCAAAGGCAACTCCGTCCTCCCAGATGCTCAGGCCCAAAAGCTTGGAGTAATTCTCGACTCTTCCCTTTCTCGCAAACCCTACCCCCAGCCCATCTGCCACGCCGGTCGGTTCTCCCTTCTGAAGATTTCCAGATTCAGGCCCACACACCAGTTCCAGGGCAGCCATGCTCACCCAAACCTCTCTGTTACCACCCTCAACAGTCTCCCCACTGGCTCCCCACTTCCCTGCTACACAGTGGTCTCCACTCAGCATCCGGGGCAGAGCTATGAACACTAACCTTCCTCTGCTCAAACCCTCCAGCGGCTCCCTTCGCACTTGGGGTAAAAACCCAAACCGCACAGTGGCCCACCAGGCCCATGTGATCTGGTGACTCCTCTCTAACCCCAGCTCTAATACTCTCACCAACTTTTCGGCAGCCACACTGGCTTCCTGGCTGTTGCTCGAGCACGCTGGCCTTAGAGCCCTCACATCTGGTGTTCCCTTGGCACCCTGCTGTCCCAGGATCACTCCCTCATCTCCTCCAAGTCTTTGTTTACCTGTCACCTTGCCTGACCACCCTCTTCAATAAGGCAGCCTCCTGTTGCCAGTATTCTCTATCATCCTTCCCTGCTAGCATGTTCTCTTCTCATGGGTCATACAATTTATTAATTTTGTTGTATCTCTTTTGATACCTGGTAGAATGTAAGTCCCCAGGAAAGGAATTTTTATCAGTTTGGTTGACTGCTATATTCCCAGCTTCTAGATCTGTGCCTGGCACATAGGAAGTATTTATTAAATATTTGTTGAATGAAAAAATTGATTAAATGAGAAGTTGGCATTTGACAGCACTTTGTAATCTGTTCATCCCTATAGGAAACTGGTAGAAGCAGGATATTCAGGGAGACAGGCAAATACACCATTGCTAACTGGTAATAATAATGATTTCCCTCTCATTTTGTTATAAAAATAACACAAATGTAGGATAAAAAAATTAAATGGAACAAGAGGGTACACAGTGGGCAGTGAGTCCTGAGACCCCCAAACTCATTCCCCAGAGAAAAGGACCATTGGAGTTACTTCTGAATTTATGATTAAAATACCAAAGTATGGGGTTCCAGAACAGGCATAATAATAATTTTTTAAAACACGACACAAAGAAGGCAAAGAGATTTCAGGATATTTCTGTTCATTGATGGGTGCAGCCACCAGGCGCGCGCGCTCTCTCTCTCTAACACACACACACACAAACACACACACACACGCACGCACGCACACATTTAGGAGGGAAGCCTCACCCAGATGACATGATGGGCAACCTCCTTTACCCTTGTTATCCATGCTCACACCTTCCCTCCAGTTCTCCCCACAGGTGAGGAACACACCTGCATATATACACACACACACAGAACATCTTGTTTCTGCCTGTGTCTTAAAAAAAATAAACCAGCCTCCATCTTCTTAGGGCCCATACCTCTGAAGTAGCTGACACCCCCTTTCCACCTCAGGCTGAGTAGAGTAGGGGAGATATTTTGCCTTTTTCTCCACATGGAAAACAACTCCCTGAGATTGGTCCTATACCCAGTTAGTTGGTGAGGATGCAGTGCCCGCCATGGCTGGCAGCTCAGGCCCCCTGGCTCAATGCAGAGGGGCCTGAGTTACGGGGCTGGGACACCAAGTGATGGGAAGAGGAGCCCAGGACAGTGGGCAGTCTAGTGAGGCAGCACAGTGGGGGAAAATGTCTCGCCAGGTGACAGCAGGCTGGAATCGAATCCTGAGTCAGTTACTAATTAGCTCTGTGACCTGGGTCTCAGTTTTCTCATCCATAAAACTGGTGAAAAATGTTACTGTGCCTTACTCACTTGGTTTATGTAAGCACTTTATAAAACACAAAGTACTGTACAAAGGTAAGTAATTGTTCAAGTCAACAAAATTGTTTTCATCATGGAAAAGGTCAAACGTATACTAACAGAGAGAATATTGGAAGACTGCATGTTGTATGACTGTATTTTTAAAAAATGTCCAGCTCTGACCAGTGTGGCTCAGTTGGCTGGGTGTCTTCCCACAGAGTTAAGGGTTGTTGGTTCTAGTCCCCGTTAGGGCACATGCCTGGGCTGCAGGTTGTGTCTGGTTGGGGTGCATACAAGAGGCAACTGATTGATGTTTTTCTCTCACATCAAAGTTTCTCTCCCTCTCTTTCTCCCTCCTTTCCCCCTCCTTTCCCCTCTCTCTAAAAATAAATAAATAAATAAAATCTTTAAAATAAATGTCCAGAAAAGGCACATGAATTTAGAGAGACAGAAAGAAACCAGTAGAGGTGGGGGTGAGAGTGGGCATTGAGAGCAGAAGACTCAAGGAAACTTTCTGAGGGTGATGGAAATGTTCTGAAGTTGGCTGAATAATACACCGTATTTTCTTTATCCATTCTGCCATCAATGAACACTTAAGTTGTTTTTATGTCTTGGCTATTATAAATAATGCTGCAATGAACATGGGCATGCACATATCTTTTCAAGAGAGTGACTTCACTTCCTTCGGATAAATGCCCAGATGTGGAATTTTGGGGTCATACAGTAGTTCTATTTTAATTTTTTGAGGAACCCCCATGCTGTTTCGCACAGCGGCTGCACCAGTTTACGTTCCCACCAGCAGTGCACAGAGATGCCCTTTTCTCTGCATCCTCACTGACACTTGCTGTTTCCTCTGTGTTTGACGGTAGCCATTCGAACAGTTGTGGAGTGGTATCTCACTGTGGTTTTGATTTGCATTTCCATGACCATCAGTGATATTGAACACATTTTTATGTACCTGTTGGTCATTTGTATATATTTTTTGGGAAAATGTCTACTTTAAATCCCATTTATTTTAAAATCAGGTTTTTTCCTATTGAGTTCTACGAACTCTTTATAAATATTAGATATTCATTCCTTACCAGATGTATGATTTGCAAATATTTTCTCCCATTCCATTGGTTCCCTTTTTATTTCATTGATGGTTTCCTTGGCTGTATATCTTTTCATGTTTAATGACCAAAAAACTGGGCAGAATATATGACACAATGATGTTTGAACACTGGCCATCGGGAAGCATAGGTCAGTAATCCTGGAACGACTGAAAACGAGCCAGGTGCGCTCTCCGTTCTGCAGGCAGGAGGAACCCAGGCTGAGCCTGGCCGACCAGGAGCTGAGGAGGCTGCATGGGGAGTCCAGGGAGGCGTAGGCAGCTGGTTTGTAGAGTAGAGCACAGGGAAGAAGAGAGGAATATTCAGAGGGTTTCCCGTGACAGTCAGCTGAGGACAGGTCAGCACACAGGTGTGAGGAAACTCTCTGAGGTGGGAAAATAACCATCTAAAAGGAGCAGAGCAAGCAATCCTCAGTACTCACTCAAGGATGGAAATAGTGACTGTTCCCTCCAGCTGATGTGGGAAACCTCACAATTCACGGGGCATGGGGCAAATTATACCAAAGGGGTTTGCCTTCGTGTGGGGAAAAATTAGCCTCAGGTTAGAGGCGGCTCAGGTACCACACAACCAAGACTTAAAGAGAAAGCCTTGGAAAGGCTGAACTGTTTCTAAGTAAATAAACTGCCTTCCAGAACAGAACCCAAGAATATATACTGAAATAGAAAAATACCCAGGATTCAACATGGTAAAATTCACAATATTTGGCATCCAGGAAAAAAAAAAATACAGCATGGATAGGAGCAGAAAAATATGACCTATAGTGAGAAAAAAATTGAAACTAATTCAGACATTGCTCAGATAATGCAATTAGTAGACAATTACATTAAGAGTTGTTATAACTATTTGATATGTGTAAGAAGTTAGAAGAAAAATTGAATATGGATGATTTCTTAAAGACCCAGATTGAACTTCTAGAGATGTAAGCTACCATGAAAAATAAAATACGCTACAAAAGAAAAGATTACTCAGCTTGAATGCATAGCAGTAGAAACTACCCCAAATGAAACACAGTGAGTAGAAAGACGGGGAACAAATGAACAAAGCATAAATGGGACAACTCCAAGCAACCTGATGTGCAGGGCAACTGGAGTCCTTGAAGGAAAGCAGAGGGCAAAATCAGTATTTGCGAAAACAATGGCTGAAAAATTTTCAAACTTGATGGAAACTGTAAATGCATAGATATAAGAAGCTCAACACATCTCAAGCACAAGAAAAATGAATAAAACTACAGCAAGGCACATCAAAATGAAATAACTTAAAACCAGCGATAAACAGAAAATCTGAAAGTAGTCAGAAGAGAAAAAGGCACATTACGTAGAGAGGAACAGAGATAAAGATAATTGCAGATTTCTCATCAGAAACAACGCAAGCTAGAAGACAGTAGAGTAACATTTTTTAAAAAGATTTTACTCATTTATTTTCAGAGAAAGGGGAAGGGAGGGAGAAAGAGAGGGAGAGAAGCATCAATGTGTGGTTGCCTTTCACACGCCCTCACCTGGGGGCCTGGCCCAAAACACAGGCATGTGCCCTGACTAGGAATTGAACCGGTGACCTTTGGGTTTTCGGGCTGGCACTCAATCCACTGAGCCACATCAGCCAGGGCAAGAGTAACATTTTTAAAGTATGGGGAAAATAATTCAAACCAAATCAGACTGTGTATTATTTCTGCTCAGAATTCTTTTTAAAAATTGATCTTTAGAGAGAGAATGGGGAAGGAGGGAGAAAGAGAAACATCAATTTGTCATTCCACTTATTTATGCATTCATTGGTTGATTCTTGTATGTGCCCTGACCAGGG